TGTCCTTTCTCAATTTTTTATTTTTGATTTTTTTTTACCAAAAAAAAAAAAAAAAAAAAAAGTTACGGACTGCATAGACTGCAGCTTTAATAAAAATCATTTAGTCATCACATAATTATCCATGCTGCAGGAATGACAGTTTTGCAGGTCAAAACTCAAATTAATAGTTCAGCACATTCCATTGAATTAGTCTATTGGTTTTTTAAATGGGTTTTTGGTTAAATGCCTGAAATAATGTCTAAAGCTCAAGATATTTTCATGTTTTATTCTATGACAAAATACATATGTAATACCCCCTTGTTTTTTTAACAGGTTTTGCTTGTTTTAAAGGTGGTTGCTAACAAGTGGCTAAATTGGACTACAGACAAACACATCTAATTACTAGCCCACATTTACGGTCTCATTTTGCTTAGCAGACTTGACTTATCATGCTCTTGCAAACTAGTCAAACTTTTGGGGGAATTTTTTATTTTATTTTTTAAGACTGAAAGTGTTGTCAGAAGGCTAAAGTGTAACTGTGTAATAATACAAAGCATGGTGAAATTTAGTAATGTCAGTAGCATACGTAAATTTACAATGTTTTCTCTCGCTCCGTTACCTGAACTGAGAAATTCATGTTTATTTATCAGAAAAAGTTCGCCAGCTGACAAAAACTTTACTGCATTTTTGTATCCCTAACCACGGAAAGTCAGATCAACATGACGTGGTTTTGATTACTACACACTAAAGCATGTGTGATGCTTGTGCTGTTTTCAATGCATTTTTCTCACTATGAGAACATGAACACATGAACTTCATCTCTAGAGCTGCCTTGAGAATTCATTTTCAAAGAATTTCATAGGGAAAAAGGAACAAATCAAAATCATACACGCATCAACTCAATCTGGGTATGTGCCAACACTTCTAGCGTGAATGTGAAATAAGATCAGATTTGTAGTGACTCTACCTGACGGCTTGCTGTTTGCTGGGGGCCTGCTGAACTGTCAGACCTGCTTGCTGCTTCCTCTCTGCTAGCCTCTTCCTCATGGAGTTGGTCATCTGAGAGTCCAATCGCCACACAAACACACAGCTGGACACACACACACATACACACCCCAGCATTAGAAATGTGTATGAGTGATGGTCTACATTGGTGTGTCCTTAAAGGGACAGTCCACCCAAAAACGCTGCATATTGTGTCAATTTACTCACTCTCATATCATTCCAAACCTGTATGCATTTCTTCTGTGGAACATAAAAGAAGAAAGTTGGTAACCAAACAGTTTTGGTTCCCACTGGCTTTCATTATATCTTTTTTTTATGTTCCACAGAACCAAAAAAAAAAAAAAAAGGTCATTACTATGCAAGTAAATGACTGAATTAGCATTTTTGAATGAACTACCCCTACACACATTGAGGTAAGGTCAAACGATATTGGCTAATGCATTAATGTGTTTCAAGAAAGAAAAAAAAAAAAGATTCTCAATACTAGTAAAATCTACATTAAATGTAATGTTTAAACTTAATGCCAGATACATTTTATCGAATGTCGAATAAACCAATAATAAACAAAAAATGAAGAATAATGCAGGACTTTTTATTATAAACATATAAAGGGACTCAGGCATAGACTGTAAAAAAAGATGGACGACGTGTCTCTACTTCCTTCCACAATAGAAAAGTGAAACCAAAGCATCTCAGTATAGCCACGGCCATTTTGAGTAAATTACGTCATTTGGAGCCAGAGTCTGCGCAGTAGAGATTAGTTTGGAGCCAGAGTCTGCGCAGTAGAGATTCGTTTGGAGTCAGAGTCTGCGCAGTAGTGTCGTGAGCTGGAGCCAACTCCCGCAGACCCAATCACAAAATCACAATCATGACACCACACCCCGTTTTTATTGCATCAAATAACTACCTAAAAGCAAACTTCTTAGAAAAACAAACATGTAAACATAAATCAGCATGATAAGAACTACCTCAAATGACGGAATTCATCTTTGGGAAATATTTATTTGATTTAGTTTGTCTCACGTCCCATTATATTACATGGAGAGGGCAGGGTTTATGACCTATACAGTCACCTGGGGGCGATCGAAACGTTCCGCGTTCACTTTCAGGACTCGTGCGGCACGCTTGGACTCATGGTGTGTTCAAGTCATGTCGGATGGATCGTATTTACGAGTTGAACGCACATGAACGCCACCACAATGTCGTTGTTACGAGTGGGAAACTTGAAATTTTCTTTAAGCCCTGAGTTGGGGGCGTGTCAATGAGAAACATGGCGGAATCGATGGATGCAACATCTGTAGTTGACGGTAAATTTGTTTAAATTGATAGTTTTGATTAAGCTTTTATGCGATATAGATTAAAGTGGCTTCATAAATTACTTTTTTTTTTAAATATTAAAAACGCAAAACACACCTGATGCGAATTCTTTGCTCTTCATTTTCTAGAAGCAGAGTTAACAGACCCTGTTGTATTTTCTTGTAATTTATTAAAAAGGTACACCGCCATCTTGTGCCGACTAAACTAATTACGATGTCAGGTGCATTCAAGTCAAAGTACAAACGTCCCAGGAAGACTTGAACGCAGCATCAGGCTACACAGGGACTCGTATTTTGAAATGTAGATGCTTTACTAACTAATCCCAGCTGCTCAAAACATGGGAGTTAAAAATAAGAGATAAAAATGCACTTTCAACCATCTACAACATATTATAAATACAAAAATCAGAAAGTAAACGGTCCCAATTCATAAACAACTGCTTGGCATAAATGCACAATATTCATTGAGTGCAAACTGCTCTTAAAATCAATCATTTTGCATATTATAAAGGCTCATGGTTTCAATGTTCGGCGCTCACATTAATTTAACCACATTCTATTGAAGTTTAATAATCACATTAAGTTGTCACAATTCTTGTTTTAACATGCCCAATTTAAAGACCTCTTAAATGTTATAACAAAAACCTTAAATTAAATTATTTAAGCCTTATGGCTTTCAAACTTAAGATATTTTAAGACTTCAAAAACCAACAGAAAGCCTGCAAACTACATCCATATATGGTTTAAAATCTAAATACATGCTAAATATTTAAAAGGTGTACACACCTTGTTCAATTTTGTGTTTGTTTTTCCTGTATTTCTTTAATACTGTAACTACATCCACCAAATAAATCCATAACTAAAAGTAAAAATACATAGGCAACATTATATACACATACATATATATGTTGCCTATGTATTTTTACTTTTATACATGCATACATACATACATATGTTGCCTATGTATTGTTAATACTATATATATTTACCTGTCGCCAGAGACTGTAATCAGATGCCTGCAGTCCTGGCTGAACTTCATACCTGTAACAATTTCTGTGAGGGGATAAAATGTTTGGTCAACAATAAGACGATGCAGGGAAAGAATGAAATCAGTGATTAAGAAAAACAATCTTACCCGAATGTCCAAATAAGGTGGCTACACATTCGCCTGACTCATAGTCAAAGATACAGATATTTTTGTCTGAACAACTGGTGGCCAGAAACATCCCAGAGGGATCCAACTGAACCTGAGAGCAAAAACAACAAAGTTATTGCCAAAAAAGAAAGTTATTAACTGCAAATGTGAACTACCATAAAGAGTATTATTCACATCTCACACACACACACACCTTAAGCAGTGTCCCATCATCATTCAAGGAGCCCTTGAAACACTTTTTCATCTTGCCACTCTGCACATTGTACACTCTGAAAACACAAAAGAGTCTTGAAATGGCATTCATGCAAATAACTCCGTGTATATCTGATAAAGTTCGTATGCCTCTTAAAGGATTAGTTCACCCAAAAATTAAAATTAGCCCATAAATTACTCACCCTCAAGTCATCCTAGGTGTATATGACTTTCTTCTTGCAGACGAATCCAGTCGGAGTTATATTTAAAATTGTCTTTGATCTTTCAAGCGGTTTAATGGCACTCAGCGGGTGTTGCATGCATCAGTCCAAAAGTAGTTAAATAAAAAGCGCCCATCCAATAAAGTAAAAAAGTTTCTCGCACGGCTCCATATTTCTCATACGTCATCAGCCCGGAACTGCTTCCGTGTAGGACTGTTGGCGCAAGCTACATTAAAGTGATTATTAAGTTTTGAATTTTTTTTTCTTACAAAAACGCATCGATTTGCTACAGGAGGCCTTTGTTCACCCCCTGGAGCCGTGTGAGACACTTTAAGGATGGGCGCTCTTTATTTAACTTCTTTTGGACTGATGCATGCGGCACCCGCTGAGTGCCATTAAACAGCTTAAAAGATCAAAGACAATTTTTAATATAACTCCGACTGGATTTGTCTGAAAGAAGAAAGTCATATACACCTAAGATGACTTGAGGGCGAGTAATTTATGGGCTAATTTTCATTTTTGGGTGAACCAACTCTTTAAATGCATTTATTATTGTAGTACCAGCATTCAAAAACAAAAACAAAAAGATGAGTAAAGGAGTAAAAGCTCACACAAAGCCCTACCTAACGTTACGGTCTTGGCACGCAATGGCCGTGTGCGCGCGTGTGGCGTCGAGGTCCATATCATACAGTGTGCTCTTCTCCACTATGTGATGTGATCGTGAGAAGTTCAAGCCTTCCGAGGTCTTTAAGAGGAGAGACAAACCACAACAATTAGAATGAAAAAAATAAGTTGCATTAAAGGCAGCTTAATCAAATGCAAAGCTTGGAAGTCTATTTCACTGACTATTTTCGCATGTTCACTGACTGACCCCTCTGACACATGTCCACTGCCATTTTTCCCCCCTAAATTTTTCTGGATTCCATTTTATTTAATGGAATAATTAAATTTCAGTAATCAAAAGGTATGTCTAATAATTGAAACTGAAAATTGAAACTCAATTTAACAACAATCTTCAAGAGTTACATTTGGGTGAACTAACCCGTTAAGCAAATATTTTTAGTTATCTGCTCCAGGGCAGCCCTATTTACGACTGCAGGCAATCTCTACACTGTCCGTCTATAGCTATGTTTCCATCACCCTGTTTTAATGCGCATTTTGAAGTATCGCATGAGAAACGAATGATGGAAACGCCAAATTTTGAAAAGAAATCCCTTAATTTGCAAAAAAGTTATGCTCACTTAAGGTGGTTTTTGACTTGTGCGAAAAAGGGTTAATGCGAATAATGGGAGATGGAAACGCATTTTGCGAATAAATCCCACGAGCGTTCAAAAAAAGTCATGTGACTTTGCGCTATGGGACAGCATAACCTGACTAACCAGCGGACCGATTTAGTTGCACAGCATCTGAAATGTTGTCATGGTCATTCTGAAGTGCCCGAGCAAAGTCTGTCGTCAAAGTATTTCTGTATAACTGCCTCCCAGAACGGTCTACCAAGACTGTGTTACCAAACAGCTGACATTCACCTCCGAAAGCAAGACCGCATTTATTGTGTTTCGTCTGCTCACTCAAAGCGCAAGTAATTTATTATATTTGAGAATTATTAAATTCAGTGACTTCTTACTTTTCTTATGGCACTTTCCACTGCATGGTACGGGTCGGTACGGTTCACTTTTGAGGGGTTTCCACTGGATACAGTACCTGGTACTTTTTTTAGTACCACCTTGGTTGAGGTTCCAATCATTAAGTGTTTATCTACTGTGAACTCACCTGTAAACTTGATGGCAGTGATGGAGGCCGAATGATCATAAACTGTCTGCACTAAATTGCATTTGTTCTTCATATCAAAGATGTGAATGAGCCGATCGCGACTCGCAGAAGCCAACAGATGCAAACCTGACAGGAAAAACACTCATATACACTGTCGATAATAAAAAAAAATAATCTGTTTTTCACAGCTTTTCTGCATGCTTAACACCAAAAGCCATATTTCACCTCAAATGAAATGAAACCGTTTGTGCAATACAAAATATGCATTTGAAATAAAGAAATGGCTCACTTACCGGTCTCAGTAGGGGAGAAGGCTAGACACAAAACCTCAGAATCATGAGCCTCGATTTTCTGCAGCTCGTCCATAAACCGCAAGCCGAAGATTCTGAAGAAGTGACAGTTGATTCAGCATACGTTCATTTATGATTTAGTTCTCTGCATAGATCCTTCCTTTTCTCTCACCTCAGGTTTCCACTGCGGTCTCCAGCGGCCAAATGGTGGCCTTCTGGGCTGATTCCCAGCACCCTGATCCCAGATTTACCATCCTGGCTTGCTCCCTCAGCTTTCTCAGCCTCAGCTTTGAGGTACTGCGTGTCATCATCCACATACACTATCCTTACGATGTCCTGAAACAGCAAAATCAATGAATACTAGAAGAACGTACTGGTCACCAACAGTGTTGGGGAAAGTTACTTTTAAAAGTAATGCATTACAATATTGCGTTACTCCATAAAAAAAGTAACTAATTACGTTAGTTACTTTTTATGGAAAGTAATGCATTGCATTACGTTACTTTTGCGTTACTTTTTAAATCTGGACAGGGCTTGTTTGTTTTTAAAATAAAAAAAAGTTATATTTTTGGCAAATATAAAAGCCTTTTCACACCAAAAGTGAAATGAATAAGCCTCAGGCTGAAGGGAAAGCACATTTACATCCGTACAGTAGAATGCAGAAGAAGAAATTTCAACACTTCAGCAATAAAAAAAAAATAAATAAATAAAAAAAGACAAATGTTTGTCTAGAGTCATTTGTGCTTATTAGTACGCTTGAACTGGATCATCGAAGGACAGAAGCAAAGACAGGTTAATAGAATGGGATTAAATACATAAAGGATATTTGTGTTGTTTAACATTTAATTATTGCATATTCTGAGTTGCATTATTTTTATTCATTTTGAGGAATACTGAATCTGTGTTTTTTTTGTTTGCGAGATTAATTAATGCATATTCATATTTATTTTAGAACTACAGTAACATCTTCTGATTTCTCTTAACATGGCGACAGGAGAGCTGTCAATCAATTAATTGGAAGAAAATAAAAGTAACTTGCGTTACCGATTTGAAAAAGTAACTCCGATATTCTCTTTTAAATTAAAAAGTAATGCGTTACTTTACTAGTAACTTGAAAAAAGTAATCGGATTACGTAAATTGCGTTACTTGTAATGCGTTACCCCCAACACTGGTCACCAATTACCAGCCCTCACACCATTCCAAAGCCTTTAGATAAACACAAATTACAATGTTTTTACTTAAACCTGAGAGATGTTTCCCTCCATTGAAAGTTTATTCCACTAAAACTGACTTTCTAAAAGTTCATAAAGACACAATAAAAGGAACACAAATGAATTAAGCAAATTTTTCCAAGTCTTCTGAAGTGCCACAATAACTTCATATGATTTCATACAGATTTATTTTATCTTTTATTCACATACACAAAGCTTGATTCATATGCATTACTTTTATGATTTCTTTGTGAACTTTAAACGTCAATGTTTTGGTGGACGGTCAATGTAAAGAAAAGAAAAATTCTCAGATTTTGTAAAAATTTGTTTCTCAAAGTTGAACTGAAGTCTTCTGGAACAACATGAGGGTGAGTACAGAAGTTTCGTTTTGGTGTAAACTGATTTATTTATTTTTTCTTTGTTGCTTTAATGACCTTTATTTCGCAACAGTTTGGGTTTGTGCATTTCTGGATGTTCATTTTTTTAAAAACAAATAATACAAAAAAGGTTTCATTTTTTTCTAGTTTATGGTCATTCTAGAGTATGGCAAATTCATATTTAAAAATACAAATATTCAGTCATTCAGTTTCCTAATTAATATGAGGTTATAAAATCGGCACACAATAATACATATGGTATGAAATTATAAACACTATTAAACTACCTCTCAGCTTTTTCAAGTATTAACTGATTATGGTTCATTATTTCCAATTTTGTAGTCTCCCATTATGCTGCGCACAAGTAAATTTCAAGGGTTAATTCCCCCAAAACTGAAAAATCTGTCAATAATTACTCACCCTCATGTCGTTCTATACCCGTAAGACCTTCGTTCTTCTTCGGAACACAAATTAAGATATTTTTGATGGAATCTGAGAGCTCTCCGACCCTCCCATAGACAGCAAGGGTATTACCACGATCGAGGTCCAGAAATGTAGCAAGGAGATCGTTAAAATAATCCATGTGACATAAGGGGTTCAACTGTAATTTTACGAAGTTACGAGAATACTTTGTACGCAAAGAAAACTAAAATAACGACTTTATTCAACAATTCGTCTCCTCCCTGGTGCCATTTTGGAGAGTATCCACTGAACGCAAACAGCATATGCTATTCGGTGTCAGCTGCGTCACGCGAAAACATTGTTTTCGTTCAAATCAAAGCATAAACAATGTAGAAAACAACACTGCTGACACAGAACAGCATACGCTGTTTACGTTCAGTGGATACTCTCCAAAATGGCACCAGGGTGACGCGGAGGAGACGAATTGTTGAATAAAGTCGTTATTTATGTTTTCTTTGAATATTAAAAGGGTCAAATGATGCTGCTAAAAAGAACATTATTTTGTGTATTTGGTGTAATGAAATGTGTTTGTGCGGTTTAAAGTTCAAAAACATTATTTTCCACATACTGTACATTGTTTCTCCTCTATGCCCCGCCTTTCTGAAACACGTCGATTTTTACAAAGCTCATCGGTCTGAAAAAGCGAGGTGTGCTGTGATTGGCCAGCTATCCAGTGCGTTGTGATTGGCCGAATACCTCAAGCGTGAGACAGAAATGTTACGCCCCTCACCATACTGTTGATGCCGTGTCCGGCCGGAGCGACAAGACAAACATTAAAACCCATTATAAACGAGGCATTTGTTGCATCCGGGCGTGTTAGAACGAGCCATTTTAGGTAGGGGTGGTTAACTTAATTTTTATAAAGAATATCTCTTTGGATTTGAGACTTTAGTCTTTGCAACTTTACAGATCTTCTTTATGCACCAAGAGCTTGTAACACTCCAAAGAGAAAGGAAAACTTGAAATCTCATCAAATGACCCCTTTAAAAGTATTCTAGTAGCTTCGTAAAATTACGGTTGAACACTGTCACGTGGATTATTTTATTTTTGGGTGAACTAACCTTTTAAGGAAATGAATTTTTTTTTTTTTTTAATGTAAAAACTTCACAGTTCTTGGAAAAAGTTTCCACATTTAATATTAAATTGCAATACATTAAAAAGGGTAAAAATATTGTAATATTGTCATGTCTAGCAGTTGTCAGTACCTGGCTGTAAAGGTTGTGGCGAAGGCCGTGTCCTGAATCACTCTTCCACAGGCGGATGGTGTTATCGGATGAACAGGTGAGGAAAGAGCCGGGTGACAAACATGCCGCAGATGAATCGTCAAGCTCGGGGTAGGTCTGCAGAGAATATCTATGCATTGATAAACTGGACTAGCGTATTATCATCTATCTGATAAACGCGGTCGGTCACTACCTCACCTCCACACTCCACACACAGCCGCTGTGGTACAGAGCTGAATAGACCTTGCCTACGCTCCGCACGTCCCGCACGTCCCACACATACACACTGTGGTCATTATACACACACGTCAAGTGCCCGGTCACAGGGTCAAAGGTTAAAGCCAGCGTATCTGGATACTGTGCTTCTGGGTTTGCGCCAAACAAATGCCTATGAAAAGAGAAGGAATCAAAGAAAAATTTATAACATTTGATAATATGGTGTGCATCTATATAATATTTATATAATGCATAATGTTTAAACAATAACACAGGAGAATTCAATCCACAAAAACTCAGTTAATGGGTTTATCTTGCGGTCATTACTCACACTATTATAGTTTGTGTTAGTATTTTGAATATTTGTAGTCTTTGCATTTTGTTTTTCAAGCTGCATACCTGCATTTCCACAATTTTAATAATATTCCATGTGTTACTACACATGAAATCTCATTTCTCCTCCCAAAGCCTCGCTCACATTTGATCTCATCCCATCTTTTTTTTACAGGGGATTTATTTGCTTAAACATTCATTATCCTCCTGTTTATTTTAAGTGGAAAAACACTGTAGAGCAGATATATTTTTACTTGTCAAAATAACAGAAATCATTCATTATTACCAAATACGGTAAATATCGAGCAACACAAGTCAGTTGATGAGGAATTAGAAATGCGTCTTCCCTCACATTTAACTATCACAATTTGTGCTTGTTAGTCAGTATAAGATATGTCAAGTTTATTTATATAGAGCATTTCCAACATTTTATAATGAATGCCACTTATGATGAATGATTTAGGTGTATTTCACACTTATCATTTTCATTCTTGTTCTGTATACCATTAAATTTGCCAGGTTTAAGTGAGGGAGTAGGGGAAACTAAAATACGTGGTTATAATGTTTGTAAATGTTTCATTTACATTTCAGAACGTAATGGTTCAACATTTTTTCTATAAGCAAAGCTGTTATCACCCACTTCAGAAAATATGGTTCACTGGTACTACAACTACCTATATTTGCTTTTGCATTATATTTGTTCTGCGAGAAGTTGGTGTTCACACAGGACGACCATACAATAATGTTTGTTTAAATAGCAAAGAAAGGAAACAAATGTGCTTTGTTTGATTGATTAAAAAATGTAATCAACAGATTCTTAGAGAAATCGTTGCAGCTCTATTAGTCACTCTTCATTAGTCCAGGCGGTCTCTTACCCTGGCTGGGTGCCCTGAGAAACATCTACTCCCAAGCAGTGCGGCCGGTGCAGTGTGGTGATGTAACGCAGGTCCTGTGGGCTGAACACGCGCACTGTGCCATCTGCACAACCACAGAAAACAAACGTCTCGCTCACCGATAAGCATTGTGCTGACGTCGTCTACAACAGCAAAACAAAGACATAAGACAGAATACTTTCCTAAATAGATCCAAGAAATCCTATCAATTATGCAATCAATGTTCAAATATTTCATACCGGCCTTAAAGGGGTCATATGATGCGATATCAATGTTTACTTTCTCTTTGGAGTGTTACAAGCTCTTGGTGCATAAAGAAGATCTGTAAAGTTGCAAAAACTAAAGTCTCAAATCCAAAGAGATATTCTTTATAAAAAGTAAAGAGTCAGCCACGCCTACCTAAAACAGCTCGTTCTAACACACCCCCACATGCCTACATCATAAGCCCGCCGGCCGCTCCTTTGTCGAATTCGCCGCCTCTGCTCACTCTAGCCCTCCGGCCGTTCCTCACTTTATCCCTCGGC